GGAAAAGAGATAAATTATATTTTTGTAATATATTATATATTATTATATTAAAACTGATATATTATTTCAATCATTTATCGACCATTCTTCTTTCATTTACTTGAGTATTTATTAGATTGGGTAATCTCAATAACCTAAACTTGATCAATTTATTTACTTTAAATTTGTATAGAAATAAAATTCAACTATAACCAAACTAATCAAACTTAATGATGTTTAACGGGAATATTGGATTTGTTATGCATAAATATATCATAAGTCTGGACCTAACAATTATTTAAATTTTTATCTTTTAATTTTTTTTTGGGATAAACTAATGTACCTTTTTGTTTACTTAAAATAGAATGGTTAATATGAAACAAAATTGGAATAACATCTAAACATGCAACAATCTAGCAAATATTTTTAGATATAAAAATCAAATATATTTTGAAAATATTTGTTTATTTAGAAGATAATTAGAGGATATTACATTATAATAAAGAAAATTAAAATAACAAAAAAATCTAAAACAAATCACAATCCAATTTCTATATAAAGAAATTTAGAGAAACAAATTAGGGGAGCTTAGGAATCTTTTGGAGGGTTCAAATTTCGTACTTCCTCTCTTCTTTCATGTTCTCCATCATTTTTTCTTCTATTTTTATGTTATTTCTACATTCCATGGAATGTTAAGCCTCTAGGGTTAATTATGCTATAATATCTATAATGCTAACATTATAAATTACATAAACTTAACACCTCAAGCCTCTAGGGTTAATTATGCTATAATATCTATAATGCTAACATTATAAATTACATAAACTTAACACCTCCTTACCTCAACTCCTCCATACTTGTTGGCGATGTCATGCATAGGTTGTCCACGAAAGGTCTTGGCTTCAGTGTCGTGATTATATAGTGTAAAATGATTTCAGGGTTCAAGTTCCTGATCTTCGATGCCACTTTCCCAAACATATCAATAAAGGTTAGTAGATTCCTCTTTCTCTCATCTAACATTCAAAAGTGCTAAGGAAGTGAGATGATGGTATCGACTAGTGATCTTCGATGCCACTTTCCCAAACATATTAGTAAAGGTTAGTAGATTCCTCTTTCTCTCATCTAACATTCAAAAGTGCTAACGAAGTGAGATGATGGTATCGACTAGTGAGAAACTGTATCGTAAAGAATGCTACCAATATGCCAAAGCAATCTATGGAGTAGAGGGTAGGTGGGTAAACCACTCTAGGGTGACTCCTTTCAAGGTGGTAGGAAAGGTCTTGCACATAACGATAACATCAGTCAAGTATAGATCGACTTGAGTAATGTACACGACGAAATGCCCATCTAGATTGGTGTTGCCATCATATTGATCCAATGTCAGGGTCTTCCACTACTTAAAGAGTGGGGTATCCATGATACCATCAACAAAGGGGTGTCACCGATTTCATCCTATTGCCAATGAGTTGTTTGTTGCCCTTCCAGTTTTATAATCGCTTTCCCTTCAGCTTCACAGACAACACGGAGGTGAGATGCAACTTTCTGCATTGACGTTGCATTCTCAAGGATTTCCTTCTCCTTCCCCTTGCTAGTTACTCCTTTCAACCTGAACCCTTATTCTGAGTTTGGCGTTCTCTCACCTTAAGACATCCATCTCTTCAACACTTCTTTCTTGAATCAACAAACTCTCGCTGCATTTGCATGTGTTTCTAGCATCGCGACTATGTGAGCCGATGAGAGTCCTAGACCCGCTTCCCTTGCTCTGACCATCCTACTCGTAGTGGATACCATATAACTTTTCTCTTCACAGAATATAAGTCGGCCTCACGATAGGCGTTAATTATTCTTACAAAACAAAATATGCTCTACAAAGACCCCAATTCCAAGCACTCCTAGCTCTAACTAGTCCTTTTTCGATCCAAATGAGAGTTGTGTCTATAAAAGACACTTTCACGCTCAAGTCAACCAAATGCATAAGATCATAGTATATACAATAATTAATGAATATAATAATGCATCTAGTTTACTATGTTATTTATATTATGATTTATGAATTTTTTTTTATCTCGATGAGCCTGATCCATGTAGTTAACTACATTGATTAGGTTTTTGGATTAATCATTGTGTTAATCATACTTTAATCATAGCTTTAAATTAGTCTGAATTAATCATTGTGCTAATCATACTTTAATCATGACTTTAGATTGGTCAACTTAGTCAATGTTGTTTTGTAGAGATTACCTTAACTGACATCTTGTTGGCCATGTCATTACGGTGCAAGTTCATATTATTAGCACTGAATATATCTGGACATATACAATACAAAATTTTAAAAAATTTATAAATTTAATTATTTTTAATTGAATATTTATGAATATATAAAATATTTTTTTTAGATATTATGTTATCCAAACGTTTTTAATCAAAGATGTCACAACTACATTTACTTTTTCAAACTCAATTCATAATTCATTCCTTTTATCTTCTTCGACTTGGCCTTTTCGTTCTTCATCAGTAATTAATTGAAGAATTAAAAAAATAAAAGAAGGAAGACTCAAATTAAATTGACAGTTGAAAACTAAAAGATGAAAGTAATAACCACGTCATTATATTAATAAAAACAAATAATAATCATACACCCAAATAAAAACAAAAACATATTTTATACATTTTAAATAACTTCATGTCAAGTTTTATTATAAACTTTTATATCTGAATTATGTTTACGTATCGCAGTTCATCAATTATTTAAAATCATATAGATTTTTATTAAAAAAAAGAAATGAATATAAATCATGAGACCACACTAAATCCATAAAAAGATCACAGTTCTAAATTATATTTATTATAAAAAAATTTAAAAAAATACATAGAGGTAAAACACTAAAACAATGTTATGTATAAATAATAGATAAATTAGCTACACATAAATTTTGAAGAGTATATGCTTATAGAAATGAAGTATTAATATCATCTTTTTTTAAGATTCTAAAGCACCACAATTTAATCTGAGAAATTCTTATAAATCAAAGTAGAATTACTCTCCAAGACTCTCCTTGGAATATGTTCTTAGTGGGGTCTTAAACAAGATCTTTTGGACAGGTGGCGTGATCTGAGCTGCTTTGAAGTCCTAAATATGTACTCTTGAAGGTTGGAATACGAGGAAAGATCTACTTGCGAAAGACTCACACTTAAGTCAGTAAGAGAGTTTTAGGTTATATGAGAATATAGCAGTGAATATGAGTGTGATGTGTAGAGTGATTGAGTATTTCCTAAAGAATACTAATTGTATTTATAAGATTAACATGGATCGTGGACCTATGTTGAGATATCAAATAATATCATTGAAATAATATTTACCTCAAATAAATAATAATAACAAAGTGATATCTTACCTTAAATTATGACCATAATATCAAATTGAGGAGATTAGTTAGAATTGCCTGAATTGTGAATACTTTTCCAATAAATGTATTATGAGCTATTTCAAGATGAAAAAAACTTAATGAACCTTGTTAGATTATATCCTTTAGTATATTTATTGGATCGAATAGATACAAAGTAGTAATCCAATGGATAAATAATCTTATTTTAAACATTTTAATTAAAAATATTGAATTCATATAATAATTAAAATTTAATTAAGTTCGTAATTTTTAACCGTTTTTGATTGAGTTTGTGAGTGTAAAGTTGAATGACAACCCGTATGAGAGGAAAGAACAGAAAAGGTGCATTCGAAAGAGAAAATTAGTAAAACAAACCTACACATGGGTTAAAATCAAATAAAAAATGTGCATCTTTATGTTTTACTTCTTTTATGAGTAATGAAACTAAAAGTTAATTAAAAATGTTATAAAATATATATTAAAATTTGTAAAAATGTTGAAAAGAAAAGTCATAATCAAAACACTAAAAGCAGTAAAAATATTGGTGTATAATAGAGAATAGCTACAAAATACAGCATCGTTATTAATTACTTGGAGAAATAGGCATTTATGCACGTGAATGTGTGTCACAATTTCTTGTAAAATAACATAATTTTAAATAATAAGAAAAAAGTGAAAATTAAGAGATTATTTTATAGCTGAGGAGTTATCTAATTATTTTTACATAAAGATAATATCATTTTCTATTTTTTCATATAATAAAATTATCTTAATTTAATAAAGATATAAATTTCGTATTGAAAAATTGATACGTTTTTTTATGTAGAGGTGTAGACGATAGAATAATTATGTAATGAAAAGTTTTTCAATCTTTAAAAGTACCGTAACGTATTACATCATGGAAACTACCAACTTAGTTGATATAAGGATATAAAGATTAAAAAAAAGTAAAAAATTTGTATGAGATAAAAGAATTACGAATTAATTATTTATTTATATTTGAAATTTTATAATAAAATTAAAATTTGTTTTTTTTTTCAAATGCACATTAGTTTTAAATTTTAAAAATAAATATTTTTTTTAAATTCTTTTAAGTATCAAAAAGTGTTTAAAATTTAAAATAATTATATTTTTTGATATATTCTAATTTAAATACTAATTAAATTTTTTTTTAACAAACTAAAAAAATCAAACTTTCATTTTTAAAATTTGGTAACAAAAATATATGAAAATTTAAGTTTTTGGAGAGAAAATAACCAATACCAGTTTAACGCCGTGTAAAATCATATTTAATTAAAAAATGAATTACAATAAGAATTTTATTATGAATCAGTGACTATATATTTATTAGAAAAGTAACAATAAGATTATATACTTTTATATTTATTTGATATTTGATATTGATATATGATGTTATATTTATTTAATAAATAATATAAGAGTAAAATAATTATATAAAAATAAATTTTTATATTTTTCTAAAATAGGAGAGAGTAAAAAATAATAAAAAATAGTTTGAAATAAACGTAAAAGTAGTGAGAATGTTAAAGTATGATCACATGCTAAAGAGGTAGTAGTTGGTGAGAGTACCTAGGAGTGGAATAACTTACATTCAGGGACAGCGGGGATCACTAACATTATCAATAGTCTTTTTAGCTTCGAAATCCTAAACTGACAGTGACTTCTTCATGCTCTCTTTATCTAACGTCCATCTATAGGAATCAGTGGGATCAGAACAAACGACAATAACTGCGACAAAGATAGCGGAGATCCTTATCGCCATTATTATAAATAAACAAAATTTCCTTAGTTCAATTAAGACTGTTCTTGCTTAGTCCATGGAGAACACTACTGGGTTGTGTGTGTTATGGGTTATACTATTGTTGGGGTGTGTCATTTCCTCAGAATCTAAGTATATAAGGTATAACACAACGACAACCATTGACCCTGCCAAGATCAACGTTCACTTGGTCCCTCACACTCACGACGATGTTGGCTGGTTGAAGACTATTGATCAGTATTATGTTGGTTCCAACAACTCAATTCAGGTCATTCTCAATCTCACTTCCACACATACATGCTGTCTCTCAGTTACATTCAATGCTTTCATTTTCACTTTTGTGGCAGGGAGCATGCGTTCAGAACGTGCTCGATTCCCTGGTACCCGCATTGTTGGCTGACAAGAATCGCAAGTTCATTTATGTTGAGCAGGTAAGTGTTAGGATATCTCACATTGAGTGGCGATAAAAACAGTGAAGATAAGTGGTGTTTTGTATTTGAGTTACTCCTTTATAAGTTGTTGTTGTTCTTTGCTCGTGTTGTATTACAGGCATTTTTTCAGCGATGGTGGAGAGAACAAAGTGATGATATTCGGAACATAGTCAAGGGGCTGGTCAAATCTGGTCAATTGGAGTTCATGTATTCACTTATCTTATCTTCTATCTCTGTAGGAAGTGTGAATTTGAAAGATTCACAAGCAGACTAATTTTCCACCTTCACACCCTCTGATAACTGAATGAAGCAATTTGTTTGTTCTGATTATAGGAAGTCAATGAAAATTGATCATGATGAATGTTCTTCTGCTTTAATGTATTAATGGCATTCAGTTTCGATGACATTACGTTAAATCCTAAGGTTATGGGTTGCAGAAATGGAGGTTTTTGTATGCATGATGAGGCTGCTACTCATTACATTGACATGATTGATCAGACAACTCTTGGACATCAATTTCTCAAAGAAGAATTTGGAGTGACTCCAAGAATAGGGTGGCAGATTGATCCATTTGGACATTCTGCTGTTCAGGCCTACTTGTTGGGGGCAGAGGTAACGTTAACTTTGCCGGGGAAAATGACATCGAAGTATTTTTACAAACAGATTTTTTTTTTTCTGTACATTGCTAATTTTTTCTTAAGCTGCATAACTCTTGTTGGCATAGGTTGGATTTGACTCTCTATTCTTTGCACGGATTGACTATCAAGACAGAGCAAAGAGAAAAGATGAAAAAACTCTTGAAGTTGTGTGGCGGGGCTCTAAGAGCTTTGGTTCATCATCACAGGTGAGTAACCCAAAGCAGTTTACGTTTATAACTTGTATCGATTCTGCATAGGGCAATAACAACAAAAACCTTGTTTTTCTTCTGTTGGATTCACTTCATTCTCCCCCAGTAGACTTTTACGAACGGATCCTTAAAATTTTTCATGGATACAGATATTTTCTGGTGCGTTCCCTGAGAATTATGAACCTCCCAGTAATTTCTACTACGAAGTAAATGACGATTCTCCCATTGTTCAGGTAAAATCCAAGTCAAATACTGCTGTATGGCCAATTTCCTTTTTGTTTTTTTCCAGGAAGTGTGCTATGTAATTAAACTTCTTTTTCCCTTGAAGGATGATGTCAATTTATTCGACTACAATGTCCCTGAAAGAGTAAACGAGTTTGTCGCAGCAGCAATATCACAGGTACGAAATGTATCTTAAGACGGAATACCGGTTCTTCTCTCTGCAATTTGCTTAGCTTGGTTTAAAATTCACTTTTAAAATGTTTACCGTACATGATTTAAGTGTCCGAAATTCCGAGAAATGAAAATATAGATTCTCCAAATGGAAAATGATTAGAAGTTTGTCCGTTTCACTTAAACTGATTTGATTGAACATTGCTTATAAATTCCTGTTTCAGGCCAATATTACGCGCACAAATCATATCATGTGGACTATGGGGACAGATTTCAAGTACCAATACGCGCAGAGCTGGTTTCGGCAAATGGATAAGTTTATTCACTACGTTAATCAGGTTACTTATCTTCAACTCCTTCCTTAATTGACAATTTTCTTCTGCTTACTTGATTGTTGATGATTCGTTAGGCTGCCTAGTTTTCCATCTGCTCATGAATTTAAATCAAACTAAGCTTATTTCCAATAGGGGTTTCACATACTAATGAGACAACTGACTCATGTTTATTTAGGATGGTCGGGTCCATGCCTTGTACTCAACCCCATCAATATACACCGATGCCAAACATGCTACAAATGAGGCATGGCCAATCAAGACTGATGACTACTTTCCGTGAGTTCCAAAATGCAAAATATACTGTATTTCTTTCAGGAAGAAACTGCAATCGTAACTTATTCCTACAACATGATTTTGAAACTGGTGGCTGCACTGCCAACCCAAAAGCAATGATTTCTTGTTTAGTTGCGTATTAGCGTTCCTTTTCGTTCTTCTAACTTGTTATTTCATCTCTGGATCATCAATATATTAGGTATGCAGATCGTGTGAATGCATATTGGACCGGGTATTTTACAAGCAGGCCTGCTCTCAAAGGTTATGTCAGACTGATAAGTGGATACTACTTGGTAAGGCTTCTCANTAGAGGATATTACATTATAATAAAGAAAATTAAAATAACAAAAAAATCTAAAACAAATCACAATCCAATTTCTATATAAAGAAATTTAGAGAAACAAATTAGGGGAGCTTAGGAATCTTTTGGAGGGTTCAAATTTCGTACTTCCTCTCTTCTTTCATGTTCTCCACCATTTCTTCTTCTATTTTTATGTTATTTCTACATTCCATGGAATGTTAAGCCTCTAGGGTTAATTATGCTATAATATCTATAATGCTAACATTATAAATTACATAAACTTAACACCTCCTTACCTCAACTCCTCCATACTTGTTGGCGATGTCATGCATAGGTTGTCCACGAAAGGTCTTGGCTTCAGTGTCGTGATTATATAGTGTAAAATGATTTCAGGGTTCAAGTTCCTGATCTTCGATGCCACTTTCCCAAACATATCAATAAAGGTTAGTAGATTCCTCTTTCTCTCATCTAACATTCAAAAGTGCTAAGGAAGTGAGATGATGGTATCGACTAGTGATCTTCGATGCCACTTTCCCAAACATATTAGTAAAGGTTAGTAGATTCCTCTTTCTCTCATCTAACATTCAAAAGTGCTAACGAAGTGAGATGATGGTATCGACTAGTGAGAAACTGTATCGTAAAGAATGCTACCAATATGCCAAAGCAATCTATGGAGTAGAGGGTAGGTGGGTAAACCACTCTAGGGTGACTCCTTTCAAGGTGGTAGGAAAGGTCTTGCACATAACGATAACATCAGTCAAGTATAGATCGACTTGAGTAATGTACACGACGAAATGCCCATCTAGATTGGTGTTGCCATCATATTGATCCAATGTCAGGGTCTTCCACTACTTAAAGAGTGGGGTATCCATGATACCATCAACAAAGGGGTGTCACCGATTTCATCCTATTGCCAATGAGTTGTTTGTTGCCCTTCCAGTTTTATAATCGCTTTCCCTTCAGCTTCACAGACAACACGGAGGTGAGATGCAACTTTCTGCATTGACGTTGCATTCTCAAGGATTTCCTTCTCCTTCCCCTTGCTAGTTACTCCTTTCAACCTGAACCCTTATTCTGAGTTTGGCGTTCTCTCACCTTAAGACATCCATCTCTTCAACACTTCTTTCTTGAATCAACAAACTCTCGCTGCATTTGCATGTGTTTCTAGCATCGCGACTATGTGAGCCGATGAGAGTCCTAGACCCGCTTCCCTTGCTCTGACCATCCTACTCGTAGTGGATACCATATAACTTTTCTCTTCACAGAATATAAGTCGGCCTCACGATAGGCGTTAATTATTCTTACAAAACAAAATATGCTCTACAAAGACCCCAATTCCAAGCACTCCTAGCTCTAACTAGTCCTTTTTCGATCCAAATGAGAGTTGTGTCTATAAAAGACACTTTCACGCTCAAGTCAACCAAATGCATAAGATCATAGTATATACAATAATTAATGAATATAATAATGCATCTAGTTTACTATGTTATTTATATTATGATTTATGAATTTTTTTTTATCTCGATGAGCCTGATCCATGTAGTTAACTACATTGATTAGGTTTTTGGATTAATCATTGTGTTAATCATACTTTAATCATAGCTTTAAATTAGTCTGAATTAATCATTGTGCTAATCATACTTTAATCATGACTTTAGATTGGTCAACTTAGTCAATGTTGTTTTGTAGAGATTACCTTAACTGACATCTTGTTGGCCATGTCATTACGGTGCAAGTTCATATTATTAGCACTGAATATATCTGGACATATACAATACAAAATTTTAAAAAATTTATAAATTTAATTATTTTTAATTGAATATTTATGAATATATAAAATATTTTTTTTAGATATTATGTTATCCAAACGTTTTTAATCAAAGATGTCACAACTACATTTACTTTTTCAAACTCAATTCATAATTCATTCCTTTTATCTTCTTCGACTTGGCCTTTTCGTTCTTCATCAGTAATTAATTGAAGAATTAAAAAAATAAAAGAAGGAAGACTCAAATTAAATTGACAGTTGAAAACTAAAAGATGAAAGTAATAACCACGTCATTATATTAATAAAAACAAATAATAATCATACACCCAAATAAAAACAAAAACATATTTTATACATTTTAAATAACTTCATGTCAAGTTTTATTATAAACTTTTATATCTGAATTATGTTTACGTATCGCAGTTCATCAATTATTTAAAATCATATAGATTTTTATTAAAAAAAAGAAATGAATATAAATCATGAGACCACACTAAATCCATAAAAAGATCACAGTTCTAAATTATATTTATTATAAAAAAATTTAAAAAAATACATAGAGGTAAAACACTAAAACAATGTTATGTATAAATAATAGATAAATTAGCTACACATAAATTTTGAAGAGTATATGCTTATAGAAATGAAGTATTAATATCATCTTTTTTTAAGATTCTAAAGCACCACAATTTAATCTGAGAAATTCTTATAAATCAAAGTAGAATTACTCTCCAAGACTCTCCTTGGAATATGTTCTTAGTGGGGTCTTAAACAAGATCTTTTGGACAGGTGGCGTGATCTGAGCTGCTTTGAAGTCCTAAATATGTACTCTTGAAGGTTGGAATACGAGGAAAGATCTACTTGCGAAAGACTCACACTTAAGTCAGTAAGAGAGTTTTAGGTTATATGAGAATATAGCAGTGAATATGAGTGTGATGTGTAGAGTGATTGAGTATTTCCTAAAGAATACTAATTGTATTTATAAGATTAACATGGATCGTGGACCTATGTTGAGATATCAAATAATATTATTGAAATAATATTTACCTCAAATAAATAATAATAACAAAGTGATATCTTACCTTAAATTATGACCATAATATCAAATTGAGGAGATTAGTTAGAATTGCCTGAATTGTGAATACTTTTCCAATAAATGTATTATGAGCTATTTCAAGATGAAAAAAACTTAATGAACCTTGTTAGATTATATCCTTTAGTATATTTATTGGATCGAATAGATACAAAGTAGTAATCCAATGGATAAATAATCTTATTTTAAACATTTTAATTAAAAATATTGAATTCATATAATAATTAAAATTTAATTAAGTTCGTAATTTTTAACCGTTTTTGATTGAGTTTGTGAGTGTAAAGTTGAATGACAACCCGTATGAGAGGAAAGAACAGAAAAGGTGCATTCGAAAGAGAAAATTAGTAAAACAAACCTACACATGGGTTAAAATCAAATAAAAAATGTGCATCTTTATGTTTTACTTCTTTTATGAGTAATGAAACTAAAAGTTAATTAAAAATGTTATAAAATATATATTAAAATTTGTAAAAATGTTGAAAAGAAAAGTCATAATCAAAACACTAAAAGCAGTAAAAATATTGGTGTATAATAGAGAATAGCTACAAAATACAGCATCGTTATTAATTACTTGGAGAAATAGGCATTTATGCACGTGAATGTGTGTCACAATTTCTTGTAAAATAACATAATTTTAAATAATAAGAAAAAAGTGAAAATTAAGAGATTATTTTATAGCTGAGGAGTTATCTAATTATTTTTACATAAAGATAATATCATTTTCTATTTTTTCATATAATAAAATTATCTTAATTTAATAAAGATATAAATTTCGTATTGAAAAATTGATACGTTTTTTTATGTAGAGGTGTAGACTATAGAATAATTATGTAATGAAAAGTTTTTCAATCTTTAAAAGTACCGTAACGTATTACATCATGGAAACTACCAACTTAGTTGATATAAGGATATAAAGATTAAAAAAAAGTAAAAAATTTGTATGAGATAAAAGAATTACGAATTAATTATTTATTTATATTTGAAATTTTATAATAAAATTAAAATTTGTTTTTTTTTTCAAATGCACATTAGTTTTAAATTTTAAAAATAAATATTTTTTTTAAATTCTTTTAAGTATCAAAAAGTGTTTAAAATTTAAAATAATTATATTTTTTGATATATTCTAATTTAAATACTAATTAAATTTTTTTTTAACAAACTAAAAAAATCAAACTTTCATTTTTAAAATTTGGTAACAAAAATATATGAAAATTTAAGTTTTTGGAGAGAAAATAACCAATACCAGTTTAACGCCGTGTAAAATCATATTTAATTAAAAAATGAATTACAATAAGAATTTTATTATGAATTAGTGACTATATATTTATTAGAAAAGTAACAATAAGATTATATATTTTTTTATTTATTTGATATTTGATATTGATATATGATTTTATATTTATTTAATAAATAATATAAGAGTAAAATAATTATATAAAAATAAATTTTTATATTTTTCTAAAATAGTAGAGAGTAAAAAATAATAAAAAATAGTTTGAAATAAATGTAAAAGTAGTGAGAATGTTAAAGTATGATCACATGCTAAAGAGGTATTAGTTGGTGAGAGTACCTAGGAGTGGAATAACTTACATTCAGGGACAGCGGGGATCACTAACTTTATCAATAGTCTTTTTAGCTTCGAAATCCTAAACTGACAGTGACTTCTTCATGCTCTCTTTATCTAACGTCCATCTATAGGAATCAGTGGGATCAGAACAAACGACAATAACTGCGACAAAGATAGCGGAGATCCTTATCGCCATTATTATAAATAAACAAAATTTCCTTAGTTCAATTAAGACTGTTCTTGCTTAGTCCATGGAGAACACTACTGGGTTGTGTGTGTTATGGGTTATACTATTGTTGGGGTGTGTCATTTCCTCAGAATCTAAGTATATAAGGTATAACACAACGACAACCATTGACCCTGCCAAGATCAACGTTCACTTGGTCCCTCACACTCACGACGATGTTGGCTGGTTGAAGACTATTGATCAGTATTATGTTGGTTCCAACAACTCAATTCAGGTCATTCTCAATCTCACTTCCACACATACATGCTGTCTCTCAGTTACATTCAATGCTTTCATTTTCACTTTTGTGGCAGGGAGCATGCGTTCAGAACGTGCTCGATTCCCTGGTACCCGCATTGTTGGCTGACAAGAATCGCAAGTTCATTTATGTTGAGCAGGTAAGTGTTAGGATATCTCACATTGAGTGGCGATAAAAACAGTGAAGATAAGTGGTGTTTTGTATTTGATTTACTCCTTTATAAGTTGTTGTTGTTCTTTGCTCGTGTTGTATTACAGGCATTTTTTCAGCGATGGTGGAGAGAACAAAGTGATGATATTCGGAACATAGTCAAGGGGCTGGTCAAATCTGGTCAATTGGAGTTCATGTATTCACTTATCTTATCTTCTATCTCTGTAGGAAGTGTGAATTTGAAAGATTCACAAGCAGACTAATTTTCCACCTTCACACCCTCTGATAACTGAATGAAGCAATTTGTTTGTTCTGATTATAGGAAGTCAATGAAAATTGATCATGATGAATGTTCTTCTGCTTTAATGTATTAATGGCATTCAGTTTCGATGACATTACGTTAAATCCTAAGGTTATGGGTTGCAGAAATGGAGGTTTTTGTATGCATGATGAGGCTGCTACTCATTACATTGACATGATTGATCAGACAACTCTTGGACATCAATTTCTCAAAGAAGAATTTGGAGTGACTCCAAGAATAGGGTGGCAGATTGATCCATTTGGACATTCTGCTGTTCAGGCCTACTTGTTGGGGGCAGAGGTAACGTTAACTTTGCCGGGGAAAATGACATCGAAGTATTTTTACAAACAGATTTTTTTTTTTCTGTACATTGCTAATTTTTTCTTAAGCTGCATAACTCTTGTTGGCATAGGTTGGATTTGACTCTCTATTCTTTGCACGGATTGACTATCAAGACAGAGCAAAGAGAAAAGATGAAAAAACTCTTGAAGTTGTGTGGCGGGGCTCTAAGAGCTTTGGTTCATCATCACAGGTGAGTAACCCAAAGCAGTTTACG